TCGGCATTGATTGCTATTAGGTATGATTTTGACTTATTGATTTCAATATCATTTATTGTATAAAACTCATTAGCGATGTCCAGTATTTTTTCCATTTTTTCACTATTAGGAACAAACCAATTTGTATCATCTACGTATGCTGCAACTACTAACTCACAACTAATATTCGCTTGTGTTTTGTGATACAGATTGTTTATCTAGCTCTCTTTCATTATATAACCCAATTTTGACTTTGCCACGTGGTTTATTAGTGGGTCATAAAAAATTCTCTACATTAATGGTGAAATGATGTTCCCCTGATCGATACCATCCTCCACTTTATATGACTTAGTATTTCCATGTGCTGTTATCACTTTATTTTCCCTATTTTTAAGTAGTCTTGACATAAGATCTATAAATTTTTCAGGTATTTTAATACGACGTAGTGCCAAAATTAAGCAGTCTGAATTTACTAAGTCGAATGCCTTGCTCATGTCCTAAAACATAAGCCATAATTCTTTATTATTAGTGTGAACATCTTTCATGATATTGTTTATGATGTGTATAGGCCCTTGTATGTCATTTTCCGGTAAGCCAGTATAGTTATGTTTTGATAGAATTTCTCGTTTTTCAAAAATAGCTAATAATCTATTATTTATGATTTTCATAAAGATTTTTCTGCCTGTCTCTAATAATGTAATTGGTCTTGTGATATTTAAATTGTTACTCCACTCAGCAGTTTTGGGTATTGGATAGATATAGCCTTTTTTCCATTCTTTAGGAATATCGTTTAATAGTAATGTGTCGTTTACTATCTTTCGAAAAATATCTAAACCTTTTTGTGGAAGGTTTTTAAACCACTCGTACTGGAGATTGGATTGTCCCGGCGCTTTGTTATTTGGTAGAGATTGAATTACTAACTCTAATTCGTCTAATTTGACCTCATTATAAAGGGTGTCATACCACGACTTGTTGATCTCTTTAAGTGGTGTGTATTCAGACTTCCATTTTTTGAATAACCCAGCATCTGTTGTTCTTTTCCTCGTCCAATTGTGAAAATGTTCTTTTACCAATTCTTTGA